CTGGGACCTTCCCTGGTCCTTCCACGGGCTGGCCACCAGAGACCCGGGCGGCCCGGCTGGTAGCCTAGTTAAAAAACTAATAAAAGGAATGAATTTGTAATAATTAAAAACTTGGGGTTGTCTAATAAATTATTATATAGAGAGAGCATGTCCAGACCCCCAAAAAAAGCATAAGCGGGCCTGAAAACCCCTGGGGGCTTGGCTCCTCAATGGGGAAGGGTCCTGGAACGTTTTTTTTTTTTTCTTTTTCCCCAAAATTTGGCAGATCCCGACCTTCCGGACCGGACGTCTCGAGTCCGGACTGAATCCGGACCGTCTGGACGGCAGTCCGGACGTCCGGATCATAGCCATGATATATACCATTCCTTGGAGAAAGAAAAGGCCCGAATTTTCAGTCCGTGGATGCACATTGCGCCTGGCACTAAAAATACGCATACAAAAAAAAAATAATAATAAAAAAAAAAATGCATACTACCGTAATTAATGATTAGGGGCTGATCACACACTTGTCTATTTTTATACAAAACCGTTAATTTAAACAGCAACGAAAAAGGAGGACGTGCCTCCCTTTGAGCGGAAAAACGAAATGAAATCGGAAATCCCACACGTGCCACGAAAGTGCAGTGCTTTATTTTCAAATTATTGTGTTTTATTTTAAAGGGGCCAACCTTCGTGGTGTGATCCAGGCAGTCCGTCCAGGTTCATCCACGGGTTGCCTTTTGATAATACAAACCGGAAAACAGGTCCGGCGTCCCTCACATAAATAGCAGGGCAGGGTTCTCACGAGGCAGGCGGTCGGGGGCCATGTCCCACTTCTCGAGGTTTTGTTCTGGTTTCGAGTGTACGTATGGCTCCTTGCCATCCAATCTGAAAATCTCACGGCCCTGCTTCTGGGTGGCGCCTACGTCACACGAAACAGAAAGGACACAGTCTCGACCTGCTCTAGGAATGCGATTATACGGGCCGGGGAACCTTTTGGTTTTGGGATGCTCGAAACACTTCCGTATTAATACTGCTATTTATCTATTCAGGTGCACTACGTTTTCTATTCTTTTCTGCAGATGTAGCTTCTCTCTTTTTCTTTGTATAGGTCTCATAAATATACCAATAATGAAATTCTCTGTAAATTGGTGGAACACTTTGCATCAACCTTCTAGTATTAGCCAATTTGGTACATCAATACATCTTTCTATGCTGCTACCCATCTTTCTGATGTTTACTAGCTTTTTGTTGTTAATTTTGATTTTTCTACTGATACAAACATGACAGTTTATCCTATCTTTTTATAGTCAAGATGCATAAAAATCCATCCCTTCTTCCTATTGCTTTTTCTTTTTTTCTTATGGTAGCTGCCCACCAAACGTCGAATTCTTTTTTTCCCAGAAAGAAACAGGTGCAAGGAATATGAGTGTGAACGATATACAGAAAAGCAAGATGCGAAATCAGACAGATGTCCAGGTAGTCGTATCCAAGCAGAGAGTACAAAATGCACCGAGAAACCATCCATATAGAGCAATACAATGAAGTAATGAGCCAATGTTCAAGCCCGTAGACCACACCGACACAGTATCCAAAGTCGCTCCTCTCTGTCTGGCGCCCAGCGCCCAACCTACTCTGCCCGACTATCCTACCTACAGCTGGTTCACGCAACAGGCTCACTTCGACTCTCGAACACCAATGTACATGATTGTCAACTCCATAGGCGACCTCTCTTCATGCACCAGGTATGTATCTCGTCACCCTCAATCAGACCTTGATTACCCCACACTCGCCTCCTTCCCTGAAGACCACCAGATCGTCTGCTACACCCCCTGGCACCCAGCAGCCCGGCTATGGCTGCCTGCGCCCCGCTGCCCTGCAGTGCCCCTCCTCAGCACTACGCGCCCCGTCAGCGCCTTTGGCAGCAGTGCAGCATCAAGCGAGAGCGCAGCAGCACTTCCGCATTGCCAGCACTGGCCTGGGCTGCCTCACTTCTTTTATGGAAATGGCAGCCTCCTGGATACTGCGTGTGGCCTGGCTGGAAGCTTCCAGTAGCTTCCGGTTGGGCCTCAGACCCTGCGCCCAGGCCCGAGACTACAGTTGAGGGCCTGGGCCCTTTTCAGTTGGGCACAGCCTGAGTCTCCGGACTTGGGCTGTTTGCTGCATCTGTGCAGGGCTCCCAGGCAGGTGCGTCTGCAGTACGGCTTTTTGCAAAGGCCGATGGCCTGCTTCCCAATGTATCGGCCCTGCTTCGTGTGTCTGTGCCCAGGCGCAACTGTCAAGGCCTGGGCCAACTGTATGACACAGCTTTGTGAGGCTCACGCGTCTAACCAACCAACTCGCGTGCTGTGAGAGCCTGAATACCCACGTATGGAAATGTCGAATTTTGCCTCTGACGAATATTCAGGCCCGCCTTCACTTAGGGCGGGCACTAAGCTTGCTGGGGGCCTTAGCCCAGATCATGTGATGTTTGATAGGGCCCCTCGAGGACTTGTTCCTCGCATTCCATTCCCCTTAGCTTCGAAAGTCCGCTGAGATGCTTCATGCTGGTGCCTTCCCCTTCAGTTCCTTTTCATAATCTGCCACGATCTGAGGAGCTGTCTTGACAAGTTCCTCCCTTGAAATCCATCGATCTTCCTTAGGATCAGTATGATGCATGAAATGTACTTTGTATTCCCTTGCGGGTTTAGGAGGTCTTCCCCTGCCAGGTGACTTGGGAACAGGCGTATCTCTGTGATCCAGGATGTCGTCGACGTCGACATGGCCATCCATGGTTGGGGGCAGCATAGATCTCTGTGATGGGAACTTTGCTGTCTCAACGAAAGGTGCAAGCTTGGAGGCGTGAAAAGCAAGGTAAGTGCGTAGGTGACCAGGGATACGAATGACGTACGAGGGACCATCCAGATCATTCCCCACAATGTCTAAGACTTCGCAGGGACCGAAATACCGAGGCATTAGTTTCCTAGAGATGCCAAACTCATGTCCCAACTCACTAGCCTTGACCCAGACACGTTCCCCTACCTGAAATGTGGACTGCCGACGATGTTTGTTCTCATAAGCAATCATAGCTTCCTGAGATTTCTTGATGTGTTCGACAGTCCGCTGCAACAATTTCTCATACTGGACACCAAATTCAATGGTTCCGGGAGCTGCAGCAGTTCGGTTTTCAGGCAGGAGGAAGTTTAGAACAGATCTAAGCTTCCATCCCAGATGCAACTGATTAGGACTAACGTTGGTGGTGTTGTGTACAGCATTGTTGTACAGGCTGGCAATGAGAGGAAATTTCTCATCCCAGTCATCCTGGTTGGGCTTGATGTAATGCCTCAGCAGATGCTGCACCACACGGTTCATCTGTTCAGTCTGCCCATTTGCTTCGGGACGATTCCCAGAAGTCATATGAAGCTGGCTGCCCATCTGTTCAACGGCCTTCTTCCACATCTCACTTGTGAAACGCACATCTCTATCACTAACAATAGTCTTTGGCAGTCCAAAGTCACGCACCCAATTGTCCATGAACAACTTAATGACGGGCTCGGTCCTGGCAGTCTCCAACATGGCAATTAGTCTAGCAGACTAGCATACTTAGTGAACCTATCCACTATGACGAAGATGTGTCTCTTGCCATTCTTGCTGGTCACGAGAGTATCCATGAAGTCCATGGAGATACTCTGCCCTGGGCCAGCAGGAATGGGTAGAGGCTTGGGTAACCCAAGCGGAGCTTGAGTCCGCGGCTTGTCCTGCTGACAAACCTGACATGTATGTACATACTTCTTTGCATCTACTAGCATGTTAGGCCACCAAAATCGTTGTACTTAGTTAGCACTAGTCTTCTTGTAGCCGAAATGTCCCGTTGTGTTGTGGCATTCTCCTAAAAATAAACTACGCAAAATTTCCCTAGATGGAACAACTAATCTCTTAAACCCTGCCTTTTCAAGAAAGAGTAACCCATCCACCATCACAAACTCGTCAATGGTGGCCTTGTCTTTGGCCTGCAGTTTGTTGATGATGTCCATCGTGATGGGATCTTCCTTGTAGGCTTCCCCCAAAGATCGAGTCACGTCTTCAGATAAGCCAAACTCGAAAATCAGCGCACCTAGGTAATATACCCTTCTAGACAACGCGTCTGCAACCTTGTTGTATTCTCCCTTCACATATTCTAGTTTGAAGTCATATTGATCTATGACTTCAATCCAGCGTTTGAGTGCATCGGAGAGAACTGGTTGGGTCTTGATCCACTTGAGGGTCTGATGGTCAGTTCTCAAATAGAAGAACCTTCCTAACAGATAGTGCCTCCAGTGGGCAAGTGTCTTGTAGAGAGTACAGAGTTCCCTCTCGTAGGTGGACTTTACCAACTTCTTTGATGGCATCTTTTTGCTCATGTACTCGACCGGTCTCAACTTTTTCCCTTCCTGTTGAGCCAGCACTGCGCAAATGTCGTATTGGCTTGCATCGTGGTTACAACAAATGGCCTTTGCGGGTCGGGTACCATGAGAACCTCATGGTGCGTGAGGGCATGCTTCAAGCGCTTGAAAGTTGCCTCACACTTGTCCGTCCAGTCCCATGGTGTATCAAGCCGAGTTAGACCAATCAAGGGAAATGCGATCGTACTATATTTTTTTATGAAGTTGCGATAATAACCACACATTCCTCAGTCACAAACTGGGGTCGTGGCCAGTCACGTATGCTGGCCACCTTTGCATCTTCGGACCTAATTCCATCCGCGGATACTTCATGACCCAAGTACCAGATTCGAGTGCGACCGAACTCGCATTTCTCTTTGTTCATCTTATACTTGTGTTGCCGAAGAAGTGAGAGGACTTTGTCTACATGTTGAGCATGCTCCTCGACAATCTTACTAAAAATAAGTATATCGTCAAGGTACACGACGACGAACTTATCTAAGTAGTAATGGAAGATCCTATTCATGGCGTGCTGGAATGTACCCGGCGCATTGCAAAGGCCAAAGGGCATCACCACAAACTCGTACACACCGTACCTGGTCTGGAATGCGGTTTTGTGCTGGTCCTTTGGTCTTATGGCAATCTGATGGTAGCCAGATTTTAAGTCTATCTTGGTATAGTACTTACACCCTGCACCCTATCCAATAGTTCGTCGATGCATGGTAGAGGCTCTGCATTCTTAACGGTGATGGCATTCATGCCTATAATCAATGCACATCCTTAGTGTTCCCCCTTTCTTTGGAACAAATAGGACTGGTGAGCCAAAGGAGGAAGTGGTAGGCCGAATCCAACCCTTTTCTATGAGCTCTTTCAATTGTCGACGAAGCTCGTCCAACTCGGTCGGAGCCATCCTATAGATTCTCCTTTTAGGCGTCTTGCTACCTGGTATGATCTCTATGGCATGGACAACCTCCTTGTCTACGACTCCTGAGGGCTCCTCGAACAGATCACTTTACTTAGCGACGATGGTCTCTGTCTCTGGGGGTGTTTTAACGGCCTCCCCTTTTGCAGAGACATAGACTAAGTACATTCCTTCCTCTTGGTTCTGTTTATAATAATTGTAGAAGGCAGATGCGCATAAGCTCCCATAGGAGTCTATTAACCTACTGGCTTTATACTTAGCCAATCTAACGGTACTCCCATTAGGCAACTCGTGCTTCAACACCTTCTTGTCCCAGTTAAATTGGGGTTTGGCAACCTCGAGGTAGTACATGCCCAACAACATGTCAAAGGGCAGTTTGTCACTCACCAAGAATGATATCTTATGATTTAGCTCTCCTCCTGGGTAGGAGAAAGTGCAGACTACATCTTTAACGTAGTCCTTCACCATCATGCGCTCTTTGTTGGCCAAAGTACATACTACCGGTCTACTGAGGCGCTGCACCTGGTCCTTTAGACGTAGTCTCTCAACACAGTCGCGGCTTATGAAGTTTCGTATGGAGCCAATGTCTACGAAGGCGCCGCACTTGCAACCACCCACACCAACTTCCACAACGAAGTGCTCCCCTCTAGGACCTCTACTTAGTGCCACCCAGGACTCACGAGGGTCCCTTGCCGACCACTCACCTTGAAGGTCCTCTAAGGCTTCAGACACATCCAACGTACAGAGTATAGTTGGGTCTGGATGCGTCTGCGGGGTGACTAAGGAGTCAATAGCTTCGGCCAACTCTTGAAACAAGGAGGGCACATCACCCGCTTCAACGAGAGTAGAAGCAGCTGCAACTTCTACCGGCCCTAAGTGTTTCCTGGGTTGGAGCTTGTAGAGGCCCCAGACTGAGAAGAAGGATATCCACCCTTAGGAGGGATCTTCTGCAAGAACTTCGGGTTCTTGCACTTAAACTGTGTATGGTCGTACTCGCCGCAGTTTATGCAAGCACCACGCGACCAACGGTCCCGCCACCCTTCTTAATCCAAGCCTGCTCTAACCCAAACAACTATTTTGTTTGGGTTAGCGGCATGCCCCTGACTCCTTTGTTGACCGCCCTTCCCGCGGCCGCCTGCCTTAGTCTTAACTGTTGCGGCGAGG